CAGTCTGAGTACCAGTACACCCCACCCCTTGCAGGAGGCCCAGGCGTATGCAGATGACAACAGCTTATTGTTTATGGAGACTTCAGCCAAGACAGCTATGAACGTGAACGATCTCTTCCTGGCAATAGGTAAGGTCGGAGCAGCCTGAGGTCTTCCTGTGTGTTTTCCCTTGCCTCTAGGCAAGATGACTAACCCAAGTCATAAGGATAAATGGGAGCGTCTCCTCTTATGAAAACTTCAGATGTGGAAATACCTTAACTTTCCATTGTGACCTCCATCCTTTGGCTGCAGTTTGAGCCCCCTCGTCTTCAATGTAGTTTACAATGAACCCTCCCCTCTTCGGAACATTCTTTTAGTTTCTCGCATTTCCACTTTCCCCCAGTAGTATTTTTCGGGGGGGATGAGTAAAATCTACCACACTTTGTTCCCTTCTGTTTTTATCTCTAGCTAAGAAGTTGCCAAAGAGTGAACCCCAGAATCTGGGGGGTGCAGCAGGCCGAAGCCGGGGTGTGGATCTCCATGAGCAGTCCCAGCAGAACAAGAGCCAGTGTTGTAGCAACTGAGGGGGTGGCTAGCAGCAAACAAGTATGGAGCTAGCACGAGAGCTCAGAAATAACCTCCATCCCCACCGCTCAGCACACAGCCCCTACGGTAACAGCACACTGGGCCCTGGCTCCCAAGGGCTGCCTCTTGACAGCTCCGTCATGGCACTTTTTAACGCTTCAGCAACAACACCAGGCAGCTGTTGCCACTGGCCTCCTACCCCTGCTCTGGGGTTTGGGGGTCAGATCCCCCAGGACTTAACTTCCAAAACAAACTTTCTTCACTTTGTATTATAGGTGCAAGACAGTGACCTAATTATCTTTCCTCCTCCTCCCCATTTTTTCAGAAAACTCTTTTTTTGTCTCCTGCCCCTTCCCCTTCTGCTTTTGGTCAGTCTCTCTTCTTGATCCCCTTTTCTTCCTCTCCCCAGGATGGAGAAGGTAGTGAACCCAGGAAGTGAGGAAGGAGGTTTCCAGTTCAGTCACATTAAGGACCCTGGGGGAAAGTAAGGCTCAGAGCAAGGTGGAGTAAGGAAACATTTCCTTTTTGTTTTTATTTGGTTGGAGTTTCTCATATTTGAAAACACTGAGTTGGCCTTGTGGAGGGTGTTTCTAGGTAGAGGTGAGAATGGGAAGGCAACCTCTCAGGCACCAGGTTGGAGTCTTGTTAGCTAACTGGGCAGAGGTGGAAGAGGTGGAGATGCAGTGTCATCTGTGGCTCAGGAACTCTTCTAAGGCTTACTTTCCCCTCACCCAGCCTCTTAGGTAGCTTCTCCCCCATAGTGGGGGAGATTCTGGACCCCAGAGTCCTCCAAAGAATCTTCACTGGTTGCCTGCATCTTTGGCTCTGCTGTGACCTAAATGGAGGAGGGACCAGTTTCTGACACCCATCCTCTGACTTACACATATGCATTTTTTTCTCTCTGGCCTTCAGATGGCCTCAGCCCCAGCCATGATATCCCCCTGCAGTTTGCACTTTAATTGATGGTAGTTCAGTTGTGATACTTGTTTCATGGGGGTTTTGATTGATTTACCTGCCCTCTTAACTTTTTAATTAAGTGGGATCCGAGGTGTATATGAGGTTAGGGGAGGGGCTGTAGAGAACAGTACCGGTGGCAGCTACTCAAGCCCAGTCTCCACTGCTAGCTTCTTCCAGCTCTGATTCTTACTTCACCTATATTCTTGCCAGCCTAACTCTTGGGTATAGGTTTACCTTTCCTGAGGAATTAACTGAGCAACTGGAAAGCAGTCTCAGGATAGCATAGGCCGTTGTAGGGGAGTCAGCAAGAGGGAGGAGTTTTCTGTCCTTTCCCAGGGTTCCCATTCAATTTGATCCACCCATTACCATGTCTTTTCTACTTCCCTGTAAATAGGTATGATCTTTATTCCCACTGTACAGTCTGTTGTGTCCCCCACCTCCCATCAGGCCCTATTTCTTTTCTCCTTTGTTAGTATCTTCAGTTTGGTCCCTCCATGCTTACCCCCCAAACCCATCCCCCATGCAACCAGTGGTTTAATCCACGTACCACTAGGGGGGGTAGTACCACAGAGGCCTACTTGTGGCCCCCTAATATAACACCTGTTCCTGTGGACAGGGAACGGCTGGCACTGAAGGTCCCTCACAGCTGTCTCACATCACCAGAGGACGTTGGTCCTTTCTAAATCTCTAGTCTCTCTTCACATCCTCATCAGGGAAGCCATCAAGGCAAGAGAGAACTCTAAATCCCTTCTTGTTCTAGCCCAGGGTTTTGAGGAGATTGGGGGAAATAAGAGAGGAGAGGCCATAGTGACCTAGGATTGGAACCTTTCTGCCCTTTTGGCTTGCAGACTGCCTTCTGTCCCAGAGAAGCTGAGAAATCCATGAAGCTGAGATTCTGAAGGACCCAGCTTAGGTTCTTCCACTTACACCTAAATTCCCTTCCTTTACCAGGGGCAGCCTTAGTTCCCATGGCCCTGAAACACATACACATTTTCCCCTCCTTTCCCCAGCACCCACTAGCCCCCTAGAGCAGCCAGTGCATCCTTACAAGTGGAAGAACTACGATGGCTCTCTAAGTTTCTTAGAAATGAAGTTCTTTCTCTGTGTAGTTTTCCCCATGGAGCAGTAGTGAAGATGTTTCGTTGCCTTGGGGCTGGGAAACCATTTCTCCAGGCTTCTTCTCCCCTCCCCTTGCCCCGCTTAGGAACAGGATTGGCCTTAGCTTCTGGGCCTACCTGCTGCCTTCCTTCTACTTCCTATTAGCTCTTCTGCTTTCCTTTGAGCTCTGTTGGGCTTTAGGGAATCTTAGTTTTTATTTCCCAGCTCTTCATTTTTTTCTTCTGATTTTTTTTTTTTTTTTTTGCTTCTAAGAAAGCATTTGCCTTTTTTCCCCTTTCTTCCTCTCCCAACATAACAATCGTGGTAACAATGCGACTGCTGATTTACCAATGTATTTAATGTAAGTAAAAAAGGAGAAAAAAAAATGTATTGGAGTGTTGCTTCTTCTTTTTTCTTTTTTTCTTTTTTTTTTTGCTATTTCTCTGTCTGTTACTAAAAATTTGGAAGGCAACCCAGTAATGTTTTATTGAATCAGAAACACACCCTCCCTTGCATCCTGGTACCTCCTTATTCTCATTAATATTTTCTTGAATAGTGAGATAACCCAATTTGGAAAATAGGCCCTTTATTGCTGTTTAATCACTCCTGTTCCCAGGCCACTAGAGAGCTCACCAAATCTGTCCCTAGCTTATTTTTTTAGGCCATCCTAACATTGTATACATGGAAGGGGGTGGTGGTCTGTGGACCTCTGGGCAGACAATTGATGAGATTGGAGGGAGAGGTGGTATTTGTGAATACTTTGAAGTATTATGTAAATATCTGTGTGCAGCTTTCTAGGGAGAGGGCCCACTGCCTTAATTAGTATCTCAAAGGGGTCCATGACGTAAGAACGTTTTTTAAAAATCACTGAGTTAACATTATTGATTGATCATGTGGCTTCTACCCCAACAGGAAAATTTCAACAGGAAATTCTGCTCGTTACTTGCTGTACTTGAAGCCCTCAGTCCCTCAAAGTCTAAGTGGAAGTGGGTGGGGGGGAATGATACAGAGAAAAGATTAGGTATGGTTGCAGGAGGAGTTTTGAATTCCAAAGAATCTGAAGGACAGGAAAGACAGAGCCTGGAATTCAGTCCCATCTCTGACAATTTACCAGCTGTGGCCTTGATCAAGTTACTTAGCTGCTTTCTGCCTCAGATTCTTCTGTAAAATGAAGAAAATTTGAGATTTAAAGGTCAATTATATAAAGCATGTGTGTGGCTTTATGTAGGATGACACTGTTATTAGGCAGAAGTCTCATCCCATGGCTCAGGCAGTCCTTAACTCACTTCTCTGTATCCTGGGTAAGGATAGGTTGGGCGTCAGGCCTCTCCGATGATTTAACTGTACACAGTTGAGTTGGGAATCTTTCTTTTTCCAAAAACCTTACAGCCAAAATCACCTTTTCACTGTCAGTTCCCCTTACTGTATATCTCTTAGGACTCCCCCCACGGCTGCTGCTTCTAGTTCAGTTTAGGAAAGCAGAAAGGCAGGGGAAATGATCTTCACTTAAAGTATGGTTGTAACTCAACCTTCTAGTCTCTAGAGGGCAGTGTGGATACGTTTGGCCCGGGTCCACAGCTAGCCAATGACAAGTTTTCGCTCCCACACCAAATGATAAAAGGGTAATAGCAAACAATTTCTGTTAGTATCCTTTATTCTGACATGAGCAGTTACAATCTTACTACTTTGGGGCGTTAAATGTCATCAAGTGACGACTTTTTAAAAGAAATTGACAACTAAGCAAAATTAAAAAGATGCCTATTTAGTGTTGTTGGTTCTATAATTTGAGGAGAAATACAGCTGGTCCAAGGGATCTCGAAGGCTTTGAACCACCATTTTAGGCCCCATTTCTGATCTCATTCCTGGACATAAAAGAATTGAGCGCTTCATCTTGTTTTCTCTATAAGGCAAACAGGGCTGTTGTAGTTGCAACACAGGCGTTTATCAAAAAATAGGTTAGAGACGGAGCTCACCACCGGGAGAAAGCCGGCTGGATCCCGAGGCCTCTAGTGAAAGCACCTTGTGTCTAAGCTGGTGGGGCGGGGCGGGGACATCTCTCAGCCCAACCTTTGGAGTCCTCATCACCTTCCACTGCCCGGGTTCCGGACATCATGAGGTCCTACTCCTCATCTGGCGGGAGTGGAAGCAAAAACAGCCCGTCCTATCTCCGAGTCCAGGTGGCGCGCCGCCTGCCTCGGCCTCCAGGAGGCGGGCACAGCAGCTGGGGGGCCGGGCGCGCCGCCCGCCAATGGCTGGGGGACGAGCCGAGGGGAGAGAGTGGTCCTTTACTCCGGCACAACGTCACGGCGCAGGCCCCGCCCCTTTGCAGGCAGCCGCTGGGCGCCAAGCGGGTAAAAGAGCCGCTGGGCGGGTAAAAGAGCCACCGTGCGGACGCCGAGCTGGGTAAGGAGGCTGGGGCCGGGAGAGGGAAGAGGAGGAGGCAGGGTTAGTAACCTGGGCGGCGGCGGCGGTCTTGGCACCCAGGGGTGCTCCGAATTCTGAGGACAGCAAAACTGCCAGTACCTGCCTCCACTCCCGCTAGCTTTGTGCTCCTGGGCCGCGGCTGGGCGTTGCTACAAGACACTCCTAGGCCAGCTGTTGGGCGGTGATATGGAACCGGGTGCCTGGGCCCCAGTGCTGGACATATACATGTTCTACCCGAAGTGACCCTGCGGAGTGACTGGCCACCACCCGCACAAGGGGGTGGCATCCGTTTTGCAGCAGAAGACTGCCTCTCCCAAACCTGGGACACTGGGCTGACCAAGTTCACCTACAAGTCAGCTCTACCAGCACTGCTGCAGTCTGGTTATAGTGGGCCGCTGGAATTGAGGGAAAGTGGGAGGGAGAGTGAGGGTCCCAAGGCCCAGGAGTAAAATGCAGACTCTGCTCCTATTCCTAGCTTCCTCGCAGCACCCCTCTTTAGCATCTTATCAGCAGTTCTGACTCTTCTCACCCCTCCCTGCTTTGGCCCTCCTGGGGTCAGTGATCTGCTCAGTGCTGTAAGGAAGAAACTGCTGCAGGCCAGAGCAGAAAAATTACCCTCTTCCTTCTCTATAGCCCATCCCCTGACATCCTGGCCATTAACTCCTCAATTTCCTGAGCTCACTGGAATGGCATAGACAAGGTAGGGGTTGGGGTTGGTCCAGACTGGGGTCCAGTACCCAGCCGGGTTCAATTTTTATTTTTTTAGGGTGGGTGGAGGGAAAAGCCTTCAATGATAATGTTATTACTTGTTTGCTCATCACAGCAGCTCTGCTAGGTAGATTTCATTTCATAGATGAGGACACAAGTTCAGAGAGGCTTGGTATCCTGCCCAGGAGCAGGGCTGGTTAATGGCAGGACTGGTTTTATAAAAGCAAAGCAGTTCGACTCCAGCATCCGAGCTCCTTCACCTCCCACTCTTTTTTCAGCTTTTTGTCTCTCTTTAAGTGAGTACACCCTGCGGTTGTCCTCTGCTGACTTCAGAAACAATAAACTGACAAGGGCTTCCCTAGTGGCGCAGTGGTTGAGAATCTGCCTGCCAATTGCAGGGGACACGGGTTCGAGCCCTGGTCTGGGAAGATCCCACATGCCGCAGAGCAACTAGGCCCATGAGCCACAACTACTGAGCCTGCGCGCGTCTGGAGCTTGTGCTCCGCAACAAGAGAGGCCGCGACAATGAGAGGCCCGCACACCGCGATGAAGAGCGGCCCCCGCTCGCTGCAACTAGAGAAAGCCCACGCACAGAAACGAAGACCCAACACAGCCAAAAATAAAATAAAATAAACAATAAATAAATTAATAATAATAATAAACTGGCAAACTGGACAATAGACTTTTGGCTTCTGCCCTTTAGGCCCTGGCCCCCATTGTTCTCTGTAGTGGACCAAGTAGAGAGTGGAGGATGGGAGACAGGTGATTCTAGGAGACTCTCTCCCACCCCCCATTCCTTTCCATCCTGTCAGCATATTCTGTCTCCGAAGTTCTCCAAGTTTTCTCTAAGGGCCCATCTGGACCCCCACTTCCATTCTTTGGCCTCATTACCACAGAAAAAGTTTACCCATTTGTCCAGAGAGCTCCTAGCTGATCTCCTCTGTGTCCTCCTCCCACCCATTCCCTCAAGCTACCCTAATCTCATCCCTGATGCAGGACTCCCTGTCTTGATCCTGGAATCTTCCTCCGATCCTAGGTCTGCCGTAATGCTGCTGCTGCACAGAACTGTGGTCCCAGGGCTCCGACAGGCCTACAGGTAGGCCATCCAGTTCCTAGCCCATATCTCCTACTCCCTACTTTATGACTCTTATCTGCCAGGTTAAGATGGTTGAGATAGTGGCCAGGAAGGAAAGGGAAAGCCATGTCCCACTTGTCCCACCCATCCCTGAGAAACTAAGTCCCAACTGAAGAAACCAGTGGCTAACCTGGGAGAGGTACACCCCAGGCTTTCCCTAGCCCTTTCTTATGATCAGAAGTGTGCTACTAAGAAGACTTCTCTCTCTTCCAGACTCAAGTCAGCCCCTTCAAGGCTCTGCATTCGGGCCTGCTCTGCGAATGATTCATTTCAGCCACAGCGCTCCAGCCATGCCTTCTCTGGTGATAACTCCAGCACCAGGGGATGGAGAATAATGGGGACTCTGCTAGGCCTTGGTGCAGTGTTGGCCTATCATGACCACCGGTGCAGGGTAAGTAGGGAAGGAAGGGACTTCACTGTCAGAACAAAGCGGCCATAGTGAGCTGCCCAGGCAACCCAGGCTTTACCACAGAGCCCACGGTGACACTGCTTCATGCACAGTAGAGATGGAATTTGTTACCTCCATTTCCCAGTGGCCACAACTTTGTGGGTTGGGTCAGGGTGAAGTGAGTGATTTCTTCTTAACATTTTGTTCCCTTTTGCCTCACCCCTGCCCTGCCTGCAGGCTGCTGAGGAGTCACCACGCCTATACACAAGGGAGGAAGTGAGATCCCACAGCAGCCCTGAGACTGGGATCTGGGTGACTTTGGGCTCTGAGGTCTTTGATGTCACGGAATTTGTGGACCTACACCCAGGGGGTCCATCAAAGCTGATGCTAGCAGCCGGGGGTCCTCTAGAGCCCTTCTGGGCCCTCTATGCTGTTCACAACCAGTCCCACGTGCGAGAGATACTAGCTCAGTACAAGATTGGGGAGCTGAGCCCCGATGACAAGGCAGCCTCCATCTTGAAGACCTCTGACCCTTACGCTGATGATCCTATACGTCACCCAGCCCTGAAGGTCAACAGCCAGCGCCCCTTTAATGCGGAGCCCCCCCCTGAGCTGCTGACAGAAAACTACATCACACCCAACCCTATCTTCTTCACCCGGAATCATTTGCCTGTACCTAACCTTGACCCAGACACCTATCGCCTACATGTAGTAGGGCCACCTGGGGGTCAGTCACTGTGCCTATCCCTGGATGACTTGTACCAGTTCCCCAAGCACGAGATCACTGTCACTCTGCAGTGTGCTGGCAACCGGCGCTCTGAGATGACTCGGTTCAAAGAAGTAAGAGGTCTGGAGTGGAGTGCAGGGGCCATTAGCACTGCACGCTGGGCTGGGGTACGGCTCTGTGATGTGTTAGCCCAGGCTGGTCACCAGCTCTCTGAAACTGAGGCCCATGTCTGCTTTGAGGGACTGGACTCAGACCCCACAGGGACTGCCTATGGAGCATCCATCCCTCTGGCTCGGGCCATGGACCCTGAAGCTGAGGTCCTGTTGGCATATGAGATGAATGGGCAGCCTCTGCCTCGTGATCATGGCTTCCCTGTGCGGGTGGTGGTTCCTGGTGTGGTGGGTGCCCGCCATGTCAAATGGCTGGGCAAAGTGAGCGTGGAACCAGAGGAAAGTTATAGCCACTGGCAGCGGCGGGACTACAAAGGCTTCTCTCCATCTGTGGACTGGGACACTGTAGATTTTGACTCGGCTCCATCTATTCAGGAACTTCCTGTCCAGTCAGCCATCACACAGCCCAAAGATGGGGAGACAGTAGAGTCAGGGGAGGTGACTGTCAAAGGCTATGCATGGAGTGGTGGAGGAAGAGCTGTGGTCAGGGTGGATGTGTCTCTGGATGGGGGCCTAACCTGGCAGGTGGCTGAGCTGGATGGAGAGGAACAGCGTGCCCGAAAGGCCTGGGCCTGGCGGCTATGGCAGCTGCAAGCCCCTGTTCCAGCTGGGAAAAAAGAATTGAACATCGTTTGTAAGGCTGTAGATGACAGCTACAATGTTCAGCCAGACACAGTGGCCCCAATCTGGAACCTGCGAGGCGTGCTCAGCAATGCCTGGCACCATGTCCATGTCCATGTTGCTCCATAAGAAAGTGAAATGGAACCATCTACTCTCCAGAACCACCTTCTGAACCCCATCCCTTGAGGCCTCATTACCACAAAAAATCCTTCCCTCCACCTTTCCATCTCTTGGATCACAACCCTGACTATGCCTTCCGAAGCCACACACAGGTACATGCATTGCACACTTCCACCCAGGCACCCGCTCCCCTTTGACAGGAGGTGTTACATACCCCTCCTGGCCACTGACCCAGTGCCTTAGAGGAGGTAAGAGCTGCTGGAGCAAAGGGCTAGAAGTAGGAAAAGTAATTCTGGAAGTAAGTGCTATTTTCTCTACCTACCCTATCTCCATTTCTAATGACTGTCACCACTGAGGCCTTATTTTGCTTTTCTTCTTGGGTTCTTCAGAGAATGTGTGAGGATATGTGTAGGAAAATTGTATATGCAACTTTTTACTACGTCTCTAGGTTGCCAGGGGTTGTGGAGGGCGCAACCCTCTCCCTTTATTGTTCCACTTTTCTAAATACATCAATAAAATATCTGTTTAAGACTACCACTCTGAAAAAGCAAGAAAAGATTATGACCTTTGGGACTTATTGAGGCTGGTGAGTGAGCAAGTTGCAGGAGGGCGGTGCACTGATTGGTACTGGGATATGTAGTGAGACAACCCAAAACAAACAAAAGGTGGGGGGAAGGGAAAAAGGAAGCAGGGGCAGGGAAGTCAAGATTGGGGTTTCCTTCTCTGAAGTCTCAGTATCTGCGGGGCTACTTAGGTGAATGACCTCAGGACACCCCCAAAGAGAGGAAGTTTTTTTGATTTGGCATCCTTAAGCCCCTACCCTACACAATTCCTACGCATTAGGCAGGAAAGGCAAAGAATGCTAAGAGGTCAAAATCAATATTGTCTTAGGGGCGGCAAAGGCAAAACTTGGCACTAGGGGCAGATGTGCCACGGCAACTAGGGCGTCCAACCGTGGCCTTGTTTGCAAAGTAGATGCAGATGAAGGGGCAGTCATTTAGTTACCCTTTGCCTGCGACCGCGCCTTTAGGACTTGAATCTTTCGGCGCTCGGCTACTCTCCCCTAGCTCTTCCTCCCTTGTCTCCCCAGCTTGTGGGCGCTCGGTGTTCAGCCACGCCGCCTGTCGCCTGGTAGTGGGGCCGGAAGTTGTTCGGGGGAGGGGGGACAGCCGTGCTGGGGGGGTTTATGGGGGGGGCCCGTCCCTCCTCAGGTGAAGCCGCTGATGGAGATGGAGCCGCCGCCGCCTCTGAGCGCCCGGGTCCCGCCTCCGGCCCGGTTGCGGCCGGCTCAGTGACCCCACTCCCCCCGCACTGGGCCGCCCGGGCCAGAGTGGGGGACCCCCGCCGCCCCGCCCCCTTCTCCCCCAATACCTTACCCTCTCCCTTTCCCACCCAGCCTGCGCGCGCGCGGAGCTGCCTCAGGTGAGTGAGGGGCGGGGTTTGGGCGAAGCGCGAGGGGCGGGGCCTCGGCCGCCGGGGGCGGGGCCTGAGGGGCTTGGGTGTGAAGGGAGGGGGACACGTGGGTGGGGGCCAGGCGGGAAGAGGGTCGCTGGGTGGGTTGCGGCCCAAGGGAGGAAGCTGGCATGGAGGGTTTGGCGCGAGGCCACAGGATTGAGGGGGACGTAGCAGGGACCTAGGCGTCCTAAAAGGGCGGGAGATGGGTCACGGCAGAGGACCGAGGACAGGCGGGAGCTGGTGTGCGCGAGGCTCCTTTGTGGGGTACAGCTGGGGTAGAACAGAAGGACAGGACGGAGAAAGGAGAATTAGACTGGGTACCTGGGCAAAGAAGGGAGAGGCGGCGCGCGGTTGGGTGGGGGGAAGGTGTCTGTCAAGAATGTTAGAGAGAAAGACATAGGCCTAAGTGGGAAGACTGGGAGGCAGTGAGCAGAGTGGGAGAAACATGTGGTAGAGAAGAAACAGGGTGGAGCGAAAAGTGCTGTCTGGGGTACTTTGTAGGGTGAAAAGTCCAGGGAACCTGAGAAGCAAGGTTGGGAAGGAAGAGATTCATTGCGTAGGAGCCCTAAGGAAGAAACACAGAGGAAGCCCTGGGGCAGACCACCAGAGGGTACAACAGACTTGGGAAGCAGGTCTAAACTAAAACAGCCTTCTCTGTACCTCCTCATGCAGCCCCATCCACAGTTATTGTCTTCCCCCTTGTAGTTGTAGATTCTCACTGTTTGATTTCTATCCTTTTTTTTTTTTTTAATTATGACTGGTCCTGTCTGGTGACAATGTTTAATGGGAACATGGACCTTTAGATATGAGATGTTTAGGAAATATGGTACCCCATTTCCCCCTCCAAGGTCATGAATTTACTGACTCTGCTTCTAGGAGGATTTGATGTATTACCAACCACACTGTGTCAAAGTTTGCACACCTTTCACCTCAGTCCCTTCTCCTATAAGCAAAACTGTCTACTGTTGTGATTTATCCACCCCTACTTACATGTCTTATAGCTCCAGGTATACTCCAGTCTCCCCAGTCCGAGCCCTCAAAGCATCAGTGGTGAGCGTGTTATGGTTGTGACTTGCTCATAGGTCAGCTCTAGGCCTTCCGACATCAAGGCCAAGCAGCAGACTATTGAGGCCTGGCTGTTTCCCCTTAATGCTACTTGTTCACTTTGTCTGGGTGAAGGTACATGTCCATGTCCTTAGGAAGCAATAAAAGCAGCTGTCTGACTACGTAGAATATTTCCACTTAAGATAACTCAGATTCTGAGGACAAGACCAGATAAAAGGCCAAATCAGACACCCTTTGGGTGTAGCATCTTATTTGGTAGGGGTATGTGAAATGCCCAGCTGGGAATTCCTCACCTCCTCATGGGTCTGCCAGTAGGTCAGTGAATCTTGCTCTGTGGTGTGCGGGGGACTTCAGCCTTCCCCACTTACAGCCTAATTCAGAGAATCCAGACTGCTCCCTGGGTCATGAGAACTGTCAAAAGAGTGGCTCCTGAGATAAAAATAAAGTCTTTAAAGAAGAAAATAGCCTTACCATTGGGAAGCAGAAGAGGTCTCAGTGGAGCTTCTGGGATGGGCCCGAGGATGGTGGGAGCTGCCCTCAATTTGGCAGCTTCAGAATTATATCTTGTCCTACTCAATAGATGCTGGTGTCTCAAGCACAAAACATAATGTTTTTGTTGCCCACTGAGTGCAGTTAGTTCAATTGTAGCTTCTGGGCAATCCCCTTACTCTCAGTAGGTTTGGAGGACTTGGCTCAGAAATAAGTCCTGACTTTTTTCCAGTGGAAAATGCAACTGAAAGTTTATTCCTTATTTCCTCTTAGTACATGCTTAGTACTTCCCAGCATGGGAGGAACATTATCCCATCTTTTATCCTACCTTCCCCACCCAACATCCACAAAGAAATTATTTCCTCCCTGACTGGCCATCTCTCTTCCCTCAACACACACACACACACAAAATAGTCAAGGAGGGGCTTCCCTGGTGGCGCAGTGGTTGAGAGTCCGCCTGCCGGTGCAGGGGACACGGGTTCGTGCCCTGATCCAGGAGGATCCCACATGCCGCGGAGCAGCTGGGCCTGTGAGCCGTGGCCACTGAACCTGTGCGTCCAGAGCCTGGGCTCCGCAATGGGAGAGGCCACAACAGTGAGAGGCCCGCTT